CTGCAAGTGTTTTTATTGGCGCACTATGAAGTCAAAATTTGACTTAATTTGAACATTCAAATTAAATTATTTTTCGCGGAAAAAATTAATTGATTTCAAAATTTGCATTACAGGGTACCTTAATGTATACGCTAACTTTCCGTATAAGTGTCGTTCTTGGGACAGCTAGGTAGGCATTATAAGGATCCGTGCTAACCGTGGGCAAACAAACTTGAAACTTCTCGCTTACAAGGCAAGGGGTCAACCACTTTTTTAATATAATCATGCAAAAAAAGCACGTTCAAATGTTTTGCTTTCGTTGCTTCAGGAAAGGAAGCAACTTAAAATCAAAAAATTACGATAAAACAACATACACAAATTAAAATAAAAATAAAAAAATCTAATCAAACCTTATAAAGTTTCATTAGTCATTTTTCTTTTTTCTTTTAAAGCATGGAAGGAAGGTCTGAGTTTTTAGCTGAATAATATTTCCAAAATAAAGTTTTGATAATTGTCAAAACTTTATTCTGGAAATATTATTCAGCTAATAATTCAGACCTTCCTATCATGCATTGATTAAAATGTACAAAAAAGTTTACTGGAAATGACCTTACTATGCGACCGTGTTATGAAGGTAAAATATGAGTATTTATATTTAATGTACTTTAGTTAAAATTTATTACTTTATTATGGTAACTATCATTTCTAGAATTGCGCTGAATACCAGAGTTATCAGACCTAAATACCAGAGTTATCAGAGGGAGAAAATGCGAATGATGTTTTATATGTTAAATTTGACTCAAATCAAAAATATAAAAATACTTACCTCTATGGTTGAATGTGTTTCAGGAAAACCTGTTTATAATATTTATAAAATTCTTTACAACAAATAGTTGTAAAGAAAGAGGTTGAAAATTTAAGTTTAATATTTTGTTGATCCGTAACTAAAAAACCAATACTTTTGAAAAAACATTCTGATCCGGATATTAATTTTTTTAATAATGGTTTAATAAAAAATATTAACCCATTATATTATAACGTAATTTCCAAAAAAATAATTGAAGGAATGGAGAACAATTTGCTTACTCCATGTTAATATTAGAAGTATACAAAAAATTTTTGATTTATTTAAACATTTTTTATATAAAATTAATATAAATTTTCAAATTATTTGTCTCAGCTAGAGAGATAATGTGATGATAAAAATTTTGAGAACAATTACAATTTCCATTTACCAAACTATAAACTGGTTCACCAAATTAGGACTTCGGGCAAGGTAGGAGGAGGTTTGTGTATTTTTATTAAGAACTCATTATTATATAAAGTTAAGTCTGATTTAAGTTCAACAACTAATGGTTATGAGTCATTGTGCATTGAACTCGTTAAAAAAACCTTTAAAAATATAATTATCCATGTTTTATACAGACCTCTTTCAGGTTCTATTAAAGTGTTTGAACACCACATTAAAAAAGTCATTAAAAACAATTCTTTTTAAAAAAAACTGTCTACATGGTTGGTGACCTGAACCTCAATATTTTGGATTATGACTCAAACATAAACATTAAACAATTTTTTAACGTCATTTTGAAAATAGCTACATTCCTGTCATCAATAAACCTACTCGCATAACCAACAAAAGTGAAGTTTCGATAGATCAAATTATCACCAATGACTTCATAAATATAATGATAAAAACAGGAATATTTAAAACAGATATTTCTGATCATTTTCCCATATTCATCGTTGCCCAATAATATAATAAAAGTGATTACCAAAATAACAAAAAAAATTAAAGAAATAAAAACAAGAATAGTAAACGACTCTTCAGTCAACCACTTTCATGACCTTTTATCAAGTGTTAACTGGGATGACATGTTATTGAATCTAAACGCTGATAAAGCCTACGATATATTTATATCAGAATATTATAAATATTATAACAAAGCATTTCCTGAATTTACAAAATTAGTTAAATCAAAAACGTTATTAAATCCTTAGATAACTAAGGGTATTCTTAAATCTTCTAAAATAAAACAACGATTATATAATAAATTTCTTAAAAGAAAACCCTTTGTAATGAAAGCAATTATAAAAACTACAAACAACTTTTTGAGTTAATTATAAAAAGAAAAAAATAAACTATTGTTTAGATTAGTTAAAAAAGCATTCAAAAGACCCACAAAGTACATGGCACATTATCAAGGAAATTATTGGTAAAAATCCAGATAGAAATATTTTTCCAAAACTTCTTAAATTCAAAGATAACTATGTTATAAAAAAAGAATTAGTGGCTGAAACACTTAATGAATTTTTTCTTAATATTGGTCCGTCCTTAGCATCAAAAATTGAACTCTTTAAAATCAACTTTGATGCATACTTAGTCTCTAATAAAACTAATTTTATGCCTAACGATATTCTAACTGAAGAAAAATTATTATGCGCAGTGTCTTCGATTAAGCCCAAAAAAAGTATAGGTATTGACAATATAAATAGTAACATCATTATAAATTCAATTAAACTTATTACAATCCCGCTTTTGTATATTATCAACTTTTCTTTAAAAGAGGGAGTTTTCCGGAAAAATTAATAATTGCTAGGGTGGTCCCAATTTTCAAATCAGGCGATCCTAATGACGCTACTAATTATAGGCCAACCTCTGTTCTTACTTGTATTTCAAAAGTTCTTTTGTCCAAACTGGAGTTCTATGGCATCAAAAATTTAAACTTGGTTTGGTTTAATAGTTAGTTGTCTAATAGGAAGCAACATACTTTTTACGATGGTGGTAAAACAGATAATATGATCAACACATGCGGCGTTTTCCAGGGATCAATTCTAGAACCTCTTTTGTTTCTAATTTATGTAAAGGACTAGTATAAATTTTCTAATATTTTAAACACAATTTTATTCGCCGATGACACTAATTTATTTTATTCTCATGAAGACATTAATATATTATTCTTAACAGTTAACAAAGAACTTGATAAATTAACCCAATGGATTAAATCCAATAAATTATTCTTAAACATTGCTAAAACCAAATACACATTATTCCATCGTGTTCATAAAAAAGAAAATATTCCATTAAAACTTCCAAATCTTTTTATTGATAAAAATATAATAAAAAGGGAAATGTCTCTAAAATTTTTAGGCGTAGTTTTTTTTTTTTTTTATGTAGATTAAGGTGCCCCAAGAAGTCCTTACGGTCTTATCATAGAGCACCGCGGAAGAGCATTTAATAGGAAGTTCACGCCTCCTTCCCAACCGATGTCGCAAAACATGCCCAGAGGTGGAGTTTGAACCACGGATCTTACGTTTCTGAGGCAAGTGCGCTACCACTTCGCCACGGCTGCTCAAATTCTCGATGAAAATATTACATGGAGAGAACATATAAGTGTAATTGAGAATAAAATTTCTAAAAGTATTGGAATATTGTATAAAGCTAAACAGTTCTTAACCCAATCTTGTCTTAAATATATATACTATTCATTTCTACACTGTTACCTAAACTATGTTGACATTGCTTGGTGCAGCACCAATGTTACAAAACTAGTAAACTTCTCTGCAAACAAAAACATGCCATTAGGATTGTTACAAATAAAAATCGCTTCTCTCATACAAAAATACTTTTTAGCAAACTTAATATTCTAAATGTTTTTAAATTAAATCTCTATCATATTCTTATATTTATGTTTAAACTTGATAAAAATATGGCACCACTTTTATTCAACTCTTTATTTAAAAAAATAAATCATATATACAGCACAAGATTTTCAAATAATAACTATACTCAATCCAAAACCTATTATTCTGCCACCAAATACTCAATCACAAACCGAGGTCCTAAATTATGGAATACACTTTTAAATAATGATCTTAAAACAATTTCTTCAATTTAAAACTAAACTTAAGCAAAATCTTTTACTAAACGACAATTAGCTAAATTTCTTCTAAAGCTATTGACTGAGAGTACTGTTATTAATAATTTTCAGCATATCAATTATGTTTAACAATTTAATTTTAATAATTGTTTATTACTAAGATTATTTATTCAGATCCATAAATATCATGAATAATATTACTGGCTTTTTTTTTTTGTTTATTTATTTTTTTTGTTTTGTCATTTTTCTTTGTTTTTCCTTCTTTTTTGCTGGTCTTTTTTTTGGTTTGTTATTTTATTCCCTATTTAAAACATGCTTTTAGTAAACTTTAACGGTAAAAAAAAAAATTTAAAAGATATGTAACTTACATTATTACGGTTTTTATAAGCATTGTAACTTACGGTGTATTTATTACGGAGCTTAGTGATAAGACAACTACAGTCTATTTTTTGCCCCGGTCATATTTTATTTTTATTTATGTTCTTTGGTATTGTAATTACTCATAGCGACGAAATATATATATTTAAAAAAATAATAAAAAAATAAAAAAATAAAAAAAAAAGAATAAAAGTACAGTTTTTTTTTCTTTCGCCTAAAGTTGACATTTAAAACATACTATTTGTTAATCTTTTAATTTAACTTGTTTTTTAAATGTTTTTGGATATTACCTAAAAAATTGTCATAAGATTACTTAAAAAAGTACATTTAAAGGTGGACTCAATCTTCAACTTTTTTAAATTTGAATTTGTAGTTGCTATAGAAACTCTCGTAAGTACAAACCAAGCCGTTTAGCGCTTTATGACAGTTTAGAACTAAACTAATATGCTCTTACGCGGGTTTGCATTTTCTGTTTTCTCTTTTAAAGGTTAATTTAAACTAATTAAAGGATATGAAATTTATAAGTAAGTATATAACCGTGATTGTGCAGTAATAAAAATACGTTTTCCAGCAAAAAAATACGTAACTTGCTTTAAATTTTATAAATTGCTATTTATTAGTTAATCATACATAATGTTAAATAACAAAAAAAACAAGTTTTATGCGATTAAACCTTTAAGCCAACTAAAAACAAAGTCTAGACTGAAGAAACAAGGTCGAAAATAATTTGTAATAATAAATATAATTTATTTATAAAGTTTTTAC